AGGAGTGTGAAAGATGGTTTAGTTAGTTATAATCCCCAAGACATTGGGAACTCACGCTTTGTGTCTTCTTTTTGACTCACACTTGAGACCGTCAAGAAAGAAGACATCATGATCTTACATTCACACCATCACCTCCTCCTCTCTAGCTCTTATATATATATATATATATATATATATATAACTCAAAAACTTAACAATAATTACACGGGTAAATTATAAGGAGTTCATTGGATTTTTTAAGTTTAATAATCACTGCATTCATTAGTTCGAAAGAATTAAAATTATTTTTTTTTTATCTTGAATAAATATTATAACTTAGTCTAATATATTATTATAAATGTTTAGATTACTGTTAAAATATAAATTAATTATTTTCTTAAAATAGTGTAAAATTAAATAAAATTTTAAAAAAATTACTTTTCTAATTTTGAAAATTTATCCTAAAATTAACCCTACCGTCCATGATTTGTTAAACTGTTCCATCACATCACACGTCATTCTCACGTGACTGTTTCATCATCACCCTCAAGATCATTCGCACATTTAAAAAGAGAATGAGCCTGTGAGAGTCTGTGACAGAGATTGCCGGAGGCCTTGAGCCTTTCTATTTTTATTTTTTAACTGACACTTGTAACTCCAGTTGTTTATACTATTCTGGATAAGAATAGTTTAATTCCACTTTTTTTTTTTAATAAATAGAGTAGAATAAACAAATCGTTCAACACTACGTATGTTTTGGTATGGAAATCAGAATAATACAGAACTCCGATAAGTTACCATACTAAATTGATCTAAGATTAATATACTTTCTTAGAAAAAAAAAAAATAAGAGATCGTTAATTTAAATTACATTGCAGTATGATACATTTTTTTATTTAAAAATTATTTATATTATATAATAATTAATATATACATATTACTTTCAATTAATCAATATGCGTACCCCACAACGCAGTAGATGTATCTGTTCATTTAGAGATGATAGATAAAAACCTTTAGTCAATTCAACTAAGCAATGAATGGTTTTAAATAATACCATAAATATTGAGAACGGTAACTTAAAAAAATAAAGTTACAAACATTTACTATGTGCAGATCTAATTAGGTGTATAATCAGAGGCACACAAGCATTGATTGATTCACCTACATGGTGACAGAAGAGTTTCAACTAGTTCTGAAAATATCTTTATGCTACCCACAAAACCTTTCATGCTCGGAGAGGATGGGCAGGGCCTGAAAATTCTATTGCCGACTAATCGGTGCCATAGGCATGGATGATGGCTGGTTATAGAAGCCTTCAGAGCCTTGAAACTGATACGAATTTTGGAGAGGAGTTGTAAATGGAGAGGCACTTGTTATTGGAGCTCCAACTGTTGGGTAACCAGGCAGAGAAGAAGCTGGTTGTTGGGAGACGGTGTAGTTGTATGGCATACCACTTACTGGTCCTGCAGTCTGCATGTACTGCGGCACTTGATATGGTGGCATAGGAGGTAATGGTGGCAATGGAGGAGGAGAGGATGATGGTGGAGGTGGAGCTTCGTTTAGAGGTAATTGTTGGGTTGTTGTCGACATGCTGTGCTGGAGGGACTCAGGATGGGAGAACGGAGGAATTTGGGGTTGTTGGGGATGTTGCGTTGGTATGTAAGACTGGTCGTTGTCAAGCTTAGGCCTCTTTTCCGAAGGATATTTGCTGGATGACTCATTTAATGGGTTGCCAATGACACCTTCGGATGCCAAGGATGAGAGGACAATGGATAGCATTTGGGCGGAGGATGTTGATGCAGTTAGCTTTGCTGCAACTGCAGCAGCTGCAGATTTACGGGGGTCATCTTCCAAGTGAGTAGATTTTTCAGGAAAAGACACCTGCCGAGCATACATTACAGGTGCTGACTGCTCCCTGTCTGACTGACTAAAAGTTTGAGATGCCATGGAGGTAAGAGCTTCCTTTGAGCTTTGCTCTGCGACCAACTGTGCATTGTCACCAGTTAGTAACTGTCTGCAGATATTTCCAGCTAGATCCGATTGTGATTGTGCAGCCTGAAAGACGGAGATGCATGTGATTAAAATTAAGGATGAATATACAACAAATAAAGAGCTTTGAGATGCAACGAATATAGAAAAATCTGAAAAATCCATCTTCAAGATTGAAGGCCAGAAAAATCACAGGTTACAAAAAGTTATACATTATAATCTTCAAAAGTTATACGAGTTAAAAAGACTGTTAGGGAAGGTGAAAGGAAGAGGAGAAGGGAGGGACTGAAGATTATTTAGTCCTCACAAATATCAATCATAATAGAATGTATTTCTAGAAATGAATCGACAAGAGAAAATTAATGATCATACCCCTCAGAGGGTCAAATGATGAAACTTTATTTTAAAAGAACAGTGAACCGATAGCACTTAGGAAAAACAGTAAACACATAAAGAGGACTATACATTCTACAGTGGACTATTTTTCAAAAGGCAATTTGAGAAGAAGATTTCAATCATTAAAATCATGCAGGATGACCACAATCTTACAGAAGGAGAGAAACAAAAAAATCAGGCAGTACCTTAAGTATAAAACTCCCATTGGGAGTGACAGTGCCTTATTTGTAAAGAATGTGCAACCAAGTTATGATTCCTGGGAATCCATAAAAAAGAAATGGAAAGAAAAAAAAAAGGAAACTCCACTTTCTGACTTCGAAAGGAAGTACACGACTACAGTTGAAAGCTGAAATTAACTTTTTCTTTGATTACCTTCAAGAACAAACACATTTGAGTACACTACTTAATTGGGTCACATCTAAATCTTTTCTTGAGTTGTGGCTCATATTCAATGAGATTACTGTTTGCAAAGATCACACCCCCCACCCCGGCTGAAAAGAACTATAATGAATCATCATATTGTCCTTGTGCAATCATTGTGTTCACTGGACTCCCATGGCACAGTACAATATCTTTGAGTCTAGGTGTTTCTTGCTGAGGGCGCATTCTTATAATTCTAGGTTCTCTTACCTCTATATTTAGGAAATTCTAGTTGTAGGACACATTTTTAATAGCGAAAAATATTTCAGGTGGCTCCATACAGCAGGCACATCGCCAAACCACTTCATATTCTCTCTCCCTTTCACTTATTCAATATAGTCTGTATGCTGAGTGAATATTTATTAGAAAAAGAGGTAAATTGTACCCACGTATCCCCCAAGCAAATCAGTTTAGATTAAAGTGCCAAACCTGAAGTTGAGTACGGACTTGCTCCAGTTTGAATTCCTGATGGCAGAAGCACTTCAGTCTCGAGTAAACATAATCAATAACGAACTCGTAACTAAGAAATAGTCTAGCCAACTAACCTGCTCTTGCAAAGCCTCTCTCAGGTGAGACACAAGACTTTTTCTTGATGATTCAAGTGCCCTTAGTTGTTCAATACAGTCTCTAAGTATAGCATGCTGCCCCTGGACTTCCTCCATGAGCGCAGGTCTATGAAGTCGCACTGTTAAACCATAAAACGAAAACATTCATAAGTCATGACATGTAAGCAACACAAGTTCAAAGAGAAAACTGGAAGGTCTAGTTTAAGACAAGAAAAATTCAACCAAAAGACAGGGAATGCTTCTGGACTGCGTTTGGCATATTCCACAAACCAATACTCTTTTTCTGTAGAGAAGAGAGTATAAATTACTTTTAATCACATTCCAGCTTCCGACCAACCAGCAAACTTAGTGGATACTAACTAAAAATCATAAATCTCAGAAAGCAAAACAGACAGCTCAAACAAATTTTGTGAAGAGGAATTATCAACTATTCAATCAAGAAATTAGGCACCTTAAGAAAATCTTGTTTTGACTCCAGAAATGAGAAACTATCTTATTTGAATCCATAATAAACCATCTTATATACTATGGATCTGAGTGCTAGATTTTTCAGAAGTTGCACTTCAGAAAACTGTGCACGGGAATAGCATCAAGCCACCCTTCCATGCACCAAAATGTGAAAAAAAAAAAAAAAAAAGTTATGATCATTATACCACATGAAATTACATTTCAAATTGAAATGTATCATAACTAGTAAATAAACTACAATAATAAATAAATAAATGCAAATGCCATCGATAAAGTACATTTAAATATTCAGTTTTCATACGTCCGTGAGAAGCAGAAAGAATTGGACTCTTAAATATGTTATCTTTCTGTTTTTTGGAAGTGGCATACTTCAAACCTTGTACAGTAGCTAAAGAGAGTTATACAAATGAAAGGAACCTAAAATCTGAAATCTTAAAAATACTACCAATGAAGCAAATACCTTTACCTGAATTAACATCAACCCCGATTTCCTTGTCTACTTTCTCAATGCAGCTAACAGCATTTCTACATTTTCCCAGAATAATGTCTTCATCTATCTGCCCACCGTAAAGAACTTGATAGCCCGAGACTATTTTGTCTAATGTATTTCCAACAGGCTGCTTCTGTTAGGAGCAACGGGCACACATTAGCCCTCAAATATAGAAGAACAATGAACCAAGCAATAGGCAAACAAAATAGAATACCAGTTTACTGCTTATATGCTTCCCAATTCTGTTACTGTTTTCTGCCTGCCTTCCCACAAGTTCTTCCTTGAGAATTTGGCCGCGAGAACCAAAAACTTTTCGCTCTTCCCATATACTAATCTGCATGTTAAAACACAGGGACAGCGTGATATTAAATATTCCAATTTAAGAATTTGACATTATAATGCTTAAGCAAATAAATATGCCGAAGATGTTACTCCAACAATTAGGCCAGAAAATTCAAGCATGCATAACATTAACTCTTTCAGAACACGATCAAATATTGTTGTGAACAGTACCGGAATAACAGTAGCATGAGACTAGTAGATCAAGGCTAGAATGATTGCTTCAAGCAATCTTTAAGAACATAGAAGAAAATTTCTCAAAACAGTTTTATTATATATTGAAAGAGATTGGTAAGTTTGTATTCGTTAACCTGTCCAACTTAGACTTGAAACCTGAGATATAACTCCAAAGAATTTAAATCATAAATGACCTTTACACACTGAATAAAAGAATACCAAAACACCCCACCCTACGATATCTTAAATAAAAAGAAACCTACCTCCCGAAACTTAAAAATAATAATATCCTAATCCATATAGAAAATCTAGCTTACAAATAACTTTAAGAATGACACTAACTCTATCCTGTAGTTTCTCAAATCAAACTCCTCTTGCATGACATTGTAAACCAGTTTTTCCTCAATAAAGAGCTTGTCTGACTTCATTGCTTACTGATATCACGATAAACATGCATTAGCAACAGATACGTGGGAAGCATGTAGGGAAAGGATTCTCCCTATTGACAATTTAAGATTAAGGGGGCAGATTATTGCAAGCAGGTAATCACCTGTTTGCATGTGTGCTGAGAAATCATGTAATCACCTTCTTTTATGGTGCCCGGTTGCCTATAGCTTATGGTGCATTATTTATGAGCTGTAGGGTATTAATTGGGTGATTACTGGGACTGTGAGAGGTATGTTGCCAATTTAATTCCTTTGACTGCTTTTTGAGTTCTTTAGAAAGAAAGAAATGGTAGAGCTTTTGATGGAAAAGAATTAAATTTATATAACTTAAGAGATAGGTGGATTAATTATTTTGGAACTAGCTTGAAGAATTAGGTTTATATCAGTTAACAGATAGGTGGATTAATTATTTTGGAACTAGTTTGAAGAATTAGGTTTATAAAAGTTAACAGATAGGCGGATTAATTATTTTGAGTAACTAGTTTGTTAGGTCATAATATTGTTAGGGATGAGAATTTTGAGAATGTCATTGACATATTAACTATTTTGTAAATCTCTATGCTTACGGGTTGGTATCCCTTCTTTTTGGTACTTTATTAATATACACGTTACTTTTTATTTAAAAAAAAATAATAATAACAGAACTCAGATAACCCAGTGATATCTTTGAGAAAATAAAATAGCAGCTTTAATACGATGACATCAATATCATTATTTGGATGAAAAAGTTGCAGTGAACATAAGTCATGAAGCACTGTTTCAGGAAGTTATCAATATAGAAAACAAGAATAAATAATTATGAGAGAAATTCCAACTAATGAAAATAGTTTTAAATTCAAATATGATACTTAATAATCCCTTAATGCGGATAAACCTTTCACCACAAAAAGTACTTCAATTGCCGATAACGTTTTACAACCAAAAACTCAACATCCAAAAAAAACTTTCGTAATTCTTCTCCATAATACCACAAACCATAAAAATCAGTTAATGCATGACATTAACTGAGGAAAGCAATCCTAAGGAAGCCCTTCAAACTTACCAAATGCAGATATTTAAAGAAAAACTATAGTGATATATGTCTGACAAATGTCTCACATACTAAATTTTTATTATGTAACTCAAAAAGTTACCAAATTTGGCTGTTTCAACTCTAAACGGTTTTAATTGTGTTATGAAGTCCTTATCTACTAAGAAAAAGGATTCTCCATTCATATTGGAGAACATGTTGTTGATGGCATAAGGACTTATTATTATATTAGCATTCCAATTCAGAAAGCAAAATTATTTCCAAACTGTCAAGAAACATACCAATCGTAGAGCAGCATTTCTTCCAAATTCATCTCCATTTTCAATCACGTCACGGAGAGCATCTGGAAGAACCTTCCAGAATTCACCAACAAACTCTGAACCCTTTCGCCTACTATTCTGCAGAATGTCATTGGCAAGGTATAGAAAGGCCAATCTCTGCTCACGTGGAGAGCAATGAAACTGCCTGGCCCATGTTTCGACAACTTGCTTTGCTTTGTTCATATGGAAAATACACCAATGTGACAAGGCTTAGCGCATTAAGGATAGAAGCAAACAACACAGAAGAAAACCAACAGATTGGTGGCAAGTGCAAAAACAATGACTTCAGACAAGAATGTCAATTAAGAGATACAAACAGATAAAAAGTTTAGACAAAAGTATATATCTTCTTGAAAGCCTTACGACGACACGTCGATAATGGAGCTGCCATTTGATGCCAATGAACTATATTTATTAACCAATGCAGGAGATTGATACTCATTTAAGCACAAAATGATTTCTGAAAGTATTAACAGACTGCTGAATACTCTTTGAAAGTGAAAATAAAACAAATAATCGTTCAGAAAAGTTCAAACACATCGTTTAGAATCCTAATGGAGGATACTTTCTATGCTCGCCTGAGAATTATTGAGCTTGGTAAGCTTGTCCACTAAAATCTGTGCATTGAAAGAGCTAGCCATATCTACTAATAAAGCTTCAACACTTGCCACCTACCTGCACAAACTTTAAAAGCCAAAAAAGCTTCAAAAGGTGAAGTTAACACGATCACTTATTTAATAAGTTGACATAGGAGATGATACTACATAAATAGAGATTAACACAAATGCAAGCACTTTGAACACTTAGTAGAAGCAAGATTGAAGTTCATACAGAACTATTATCTTAGGATGCAAGTACCACCCTAGAATGATATCATTAACTTGAAAGCTTTCTCCTACACCATTTACAACTAAAAATTTAGCCCCCTGAATGACTAAAGATAGTCACTGGATGCCTCTTAGCAACAATCAGCGACTGCTCCGAGCAAGACTAACGTGTTATTAGTCTCTTAAAACTAATAAAGAAGGTAAATAATTTAGCAACAACCAGAAACTGCTCCGTGCGAGACTAACGTGTTATTAGTCTCCTAAAACTGATAAAGAAGGTAAATAATTAATCTCTCACCAAACTTCTTTCAATTCGAAAGTCCATGATTTGACTTGGAAAAGAAGAAAATTTGACCATCTGAATTAACTCTAATTGCCAGGTTGCAATTTCCAAATTTAGCAAATAAAGTTCGGGACCGGGACTGTATCCAGCTTAAATATGTCTCTAAATAAAGATAATTAACAAACAACAATTTGTTTTGCTTACCAAAAGCATAGACTGATCATCTCAAAAGGTATATACATAGTATAAAATTCGAATAACCTTCTAATTAAAAGCCACCCTTGTGGTGGGCTGTTCGCCTACTGCAAGTTACTTCCTCTTGATATTATCAGCTTCTACCTCACTTGTCCGTAAACCTTAAGGTTGCTACCGTTTCCCACTCACCTTGCGTGTTCTCTTCTCTCCCACAGGTTTTCAAGAAGAGTTTAAATGTGATGAAACAGTTTTCAAAATTGAACACTCTTACCGAGCTGTCATGGACTTCCTCTGCAATATCCCTTTACCTTCAATGTAGTTTAAGATTCATCCACAACACAACGACACTCGAGAGAAGAATCAAACAGACAAAATAAGCACCAAAAGAAAACGAAATTGCATAACCAATTCTCAGACTTAGCTCTCTGTTCAAAACACAACAGATAACCAAACAATAGCTTAGAAAACCAAAAATCTCAACCAAACTACAATGAATTAGCAAGATACTAAAACCCTAAAGCACGGAGAGCTTTACCAGACACAATCGCAAACATAACAGCAGCAAAAATTGAAGAAAGGTAAAAAAGAGTTAGCATAGCAGAAGCACCGATCAACGACAGCAACATCAGATAATAGAAATCGAAAGAGCGAAAGAGAGAAACAATACTTGTTCAAAAATGCAGGTGAGGGAACCGCGAGAATCACCGGCTGGTGATTATATGTGGACCCACAGTATCTCCGCTTCCATGTTACGATATTTTTTGAGGGAATTAGGGATTTTTCCTTTTCTTCCTGTTAGGAATTTGAGAATTAAAAGAAGAACGAGACCGTCGTCGTCGTCTTCTTCCTCTTCTTCTTCTCCGTGTTGTCTGCTTGCGATACGGTTCTTCTATAGTGGTTTCTTGAGGTTATGGGTAAGGAGGTGGAGAAACTAGAATCGTACCATGAGAAGTCACGATAGAGAAAGAGGGATGGTTCTCGTTTTTAAACGGGGTATTTTCGGCTTGAGATGACAGAAGAGGTATTGCTACCCGTTTAATTACCAAAATGCCCCTACTTTGTTCACTTTATCAAATTGGGCTGGGCTGAGCCGGGCTGGTTCTTCTTATGAAATTTGACCCGTTTTAAACTAAAAAAATTTATGAATGTCAAAATTAAAAATAATTATAAATATGTACAAATAAATATATTATTAATATATGTAATATATTTTAATTATTTTATATATTTTTAATATTAAAGTAAAAAACCGAAAAAAATAACAAGAAAAAATTTGTTTAATAAATTTAATTTAATTTAATTTGCTAACCAAATGGTATACAGAGGCTACAATTAGCATCACATTGTCCAATCACAAATTTTTAATCACTATAAAAAAATACAAAAACACAAAAAATATATATATATTATGTGAATTAAAACTGAAAAATGGACTAGGACACGTGGCCCTTCCTCGTGTCTCATCAAAGTGCCCCGTATTGGCACAGATCAACGTCTCACCACTCTTCTTCCTCCTCCTTCCTTCACTTTGCTGCTTGTTATGGTTATCTCCTCCTAGCCATGGCGGAAGCTTGATTTCCATCAAATAGCTCCTCAATGTAAGTCTCTATATCCTCTTCCTGAAACTTAATATACTTCTCTGTTTGCCTTCCTGGATCTAAATACTGTGAAAACCTACCCAAGAAAGATCTGTAAGCAGGTATCACCACTGCGGATATTGAAACCCGGAGCTCTGATTGGAGCTGCTCGTCACTCACCACCCACGTGCTCTGTGTCCTGTGGATCTCGTCGAACATGGCATTGAAGCTCTTAAACCTCTCCTTCAGCACTGGTTTCACCAGTTTCCCGTTCACCATCAACCCTTCGTGCCCGAGACAACCCAAAAGTTTTCCCCAAGTCTCCCGCTGGTAATTCTTGTGGTAGTTTCTTAAATTTGATGATCGTTTTCGGCACCACGTGTCGCCCATCACCTGGTGAATCTCCGCCGACCCTTTGATCTTCTGGACGATGTAGCGACCATTGTTCATCATGAAGATACAGCTCAGTGGAATATCTTTGTACAGCTTTGATTTCTTTTCGAGGTTACTATCCAACAAATCCATCACCCTCATCAGCTGAGCCGAAAATGGCGAGACACTCTCGTTGTTTTTTGAATCGGCGTTGTTGGAATCATGGTCGTCGTCGACGACTCCATCATGACGTGGCCGGCTCGTCGAGTCAGCTCGCTCGATCTTCCAGTGTTCCTTGAAAACTTGCTCTAGCGTGGTTTTATACTCGCATGCATACCTGAGATAATTCATGGTGTACCGGGTCAACGGGTGAACCGCACCGCCGGGAACCGGAGTCTTCCCGGTGTCGGACTTGATTGAGTTCTCAAGATCACAGAACATGTAAATAGCGGTCTCCCCAAGCCGGGACCGAGATGTGTTGGCCTCTGCTTTCAGCTCCTTGGCGAACGGCTCCGGGAACAAATCATTGACGGCGGCGAAATGGTCGCGGAGCGTCTCGTACATGTCGAGCACCTTGAAGAGCTTCTCCGCCGATCGCTTCGTCATGGCTACGGCTTCGGCGAAGTTGAGGAGCTGAATCTCGGTGGAGCGAGCCACTTTGGTGAAGAGATCGGCAGCTATAGCGGCGTGATCGGAGAACACCTCGTCGGCGAGCTTTTTCTCGCCGGGAAAGTAGATGGTGGCGCAGTCTTTGAAGGTTTTAGTCCACGTGGGGATTTCTCTCTCCATTGAATCCCATGGCATTCTGTGAACTTCGTCGATGCTGAGCTTCTCGTAGCAGAGGTGATGATTCAGTGTCTCCTCCAGAGAGTTCCTTCTAGCCACGACGTAGACCTCCCGGCATTCGTATTCATACCCTGCTTTGATCATCTGATCAGAAATCTTTTTCAGGTTCGCCACCGTCTCCGGTGGGTATCCCGGGAAAATATCAGTGGGTAATTCTTCGACATTGGGTTGATCTTGATCCTGGCGATCTTGTGCGTTTTTTCCTGTCTCGGATGACTCATTAATGGTGTGTTTCGGCGGTTCTTCTAGAAGCTGCCTGAATTCATCTTCTAAATATGACATGGCGCGTTGTTGAATGGCGCCAACTCGGTTGATTAAAGACGCACGACCTTTATCTGAGTCGAATCCGCCATGAATGGCTGCTAAGAGGTTTGATAATCGAGTTACAGATTCCAGGAAGGAGGTTGTCGTTGTCTCCTCCTGAAGTTCGTTAAATATTCTTCCCTTTCCAACTTTCTCCTCTACAAGATCCAAGAACTTCTCAACGAACAAAGGAACCTCCAGCTTCATTTTCACTTCCTCCTTTTCCTTTTCCTTCTCATTTCCTTTCTCTGTTTCTGTTTCCTTTTCTGTTTCTTGTTCTTCTTCATGTTCCTTCTCGCCAACCTTATTGTCGTCGTTGTCATCCTCTTTGTCTTTGCTATGATTGACCGATGATAAAGTTGATATAAAGCGATCAATATCTTCGGCCACTGATTCAAGCGTGTAGTGAATCTCCACCGCCGGAGTCTCTTCGATCTGCTGGGTCAATTCTTGATCATCACCTTTCGTCTTCTCATCAACATTTTCTTTTCCTTTTTCCTCTTCCTTCTTCTCCTTCTCCTCCTCCTTAGCTTCCTTCACAGCTTCGTCTCCATCTTTCCCGTCAACCTTCTGATTATCAGCGGCCGGAAGGGAATCGCCATCACCAGCACCGGTGTCCTTATCGACATTCGTCTTCTCATCAGCCTGGTTCTTCTCCATTTTCTTCTTCAAATGATCAACCCAACTATGAAATTATCGTCTATGGGAATTGGGTTTGGTTTTGTTGATGTTCTTGTTCGATTTTGTCTGTGTTTTTTGTTTCATAGGATTGAAAAGGTCGTTGTTGAGGCAGGGGTGGGAGATGGTTGGGTGCCATTTCCATTGATTTTGAATGGTGGAGAGTTGACCGGCGATTCCTAGTTAGCGGGTGGTTCTCGATTTCTCTTCTCGTGTTTCGTGCTCTGCATGACGATGTTTTTTGCGGATGTATCGGGGCATGGCGAAATGCATGCCACTACTTCACTACATAAAATATTATATATCCGAATTATATTTATATATGGATTTTTCTTTTATTTTGTATTTATTTTATGTTTTTTCAAGTTTGTTCTTGGTAAATTATTTAGGGTTAAAATAATATAAATTGAGTTTCTGCTAAATTATTTTATACTTGGTTCAATTTCTATCACATAGACACCTAATTTATATATATTGTTTTGATGATAGTCCTAACATGTAAATGTAAAATTAGAACATGGTTTGCATGTTTGATCTTATGCATTGTATGATATTATTTGTTAGGATAAACTATTAAATTAATTTTTAAAATTTATCATTTATTATAATATAATTCTTAATTTTTTTTTGTGTTATAACCTAATTCTTAATATATATTTATTTCAAATATTTAATTTTATTTCATTTTTTAAAATAATTAAATCTTGTTTAGGTACTTTAAAAATAACTATTGTTGATTAATTAAATTAATAAGTTAAGATAATTTTTTAAACTATTTTTAAAAAACCCAAATATGATTAATTATTTTAACTTTTTTATTAAAGAAATATAACAAAAAATTATATGTTTAAAACAAACAAAAAATATCAAAAATTAAAGCGTAATGAAAAATATTATGAGTTATATTATAATAAATATCAAAATTTTAATACTAATTAAATAATTTACTCTATTTTATATGGCAATAATTAAATTTATAAGAATAAAAAGTATTAGTTGACCTTAAATTTTGAAGAACTTATAGTGGAGATTACAAATGGTGTGATTAAATATGAAGCATGTGTTAAGAATAATATGAAAATTTTAAATTAAAATTAATTAGATCTTAACAAATAAAATGGACTAGTATCTTATTAAGGGCATGTTCGGAGTAAGATGGCACATTTGTTGGGCTAAGGAAAGAAGTTATTTAATTTTTTACTAATTATCATTTAATAAAATTTTTACATTCAACTTTACTATTCATCTAAAATTTATAATGAGAAGAGTATGTTTCAATATGATACTAAATTCTCAAATAACTTGAAAATAAGAAAAAATGTTATGTATTTCAACTATTTTATATATATTAAAATTCAAGTGCACTGGATAAAAAATGAAGGGTTAAATAAGAATAATAAAATCATGAGTATAATATTTATTTTGCTGATTATTTTATTATTTTTAAAAATTATATATAAATTAAGAGTTCATAATGATGATATTTGATATTATTTTATTATTTTTTATATACTAATTGTCATGTATCGTGCATAAGTAATTAAATTTTATTTTTAACAGAAAATGCAACAAAGACACTTTGTTAAAAATAGAATAAAATATTAGATAATAGATTTTAAAATATAAGAAGCTAGGATTAGAATAAAAGAAGTTTGAAAATTTAGGGACAAACTGAAATTAATTTTACATATGTGGGTGAAAACTATATTTCACACGGAAATTTCTTATGGAAGAACGGGTTGCCGTTTTATTTGGCCAAGAAGCAAACAACGTGCCGTTTCTTAAATCACTAAACAGCATCACCGTCACGAGCCCACAGTCCTTCCATGTGGCCATAGCCGCGTTTGCTCACGATGTAATTCAATGATCAAAAAACGACATCGTTTTCTTCGTCTATAAATTCACTGGGGCCAACACGCGCACTCAGCGTCAGCGTGGACGAGGAAGAAGGAGAAGATGATGAGGCACAGTGGATCCAGAAAAAGACGAGTGTCCATACACTCTCTTCTCTTCATACCAGCGATTTTCGCTGCCTTCGGCTTGTTGCTTCTCACGTTCCGATCCGTTGATCCATCAATCACCGTCGATTCTCATTTGCAAGGACCAGATGAGCTTCGAGATTCGAGCTCGAGCTTGAGCTCGAGCTCTGATGCAGTGCCGAAGGGAGGACCGAAATCTTGCGCCACCGTCGAGGAGATGGGAGAGGATTTCAATGGAGGTTTTGTCAAGGAGAGCCTCAGAGTTAGACAGCTTGTTAGGCGTCATTTTGCGGTAAACGGTAAGGTCCTTTCAGCTGTATATCAGCCTGATTGCTGCATTTTTTTTCTATGCGAGGGTATATTCATGGATACGATCTTTTATTTCTCGATACACAAGCTTTTTGCCTTTAGATAAATACATGTTGTATCAGGAAGAACAGGTAATGCATTTATACATGTGTGTATACGTCTGTGTATGTTAGTAATATCATTTTCAACAAATTTAGTGGCTGCTAGTCTCTGTAAGAAGCAACTAAATTTTAGTTTTGATAATTGGTCAGGTATTTGTATGATTATACGCGAATAATCTTAACTTACACCTTCATGTGTTGAGATATCTTCTTACAAAGGAAAAAAGAATCGAAAGAAAGAAAGTTTTTAGCTTATTCAATGGAATTATGGGGATTGTATGAAAATCACGTTAGATAAATAGCTCGATTAAAGCCTTAAATTGTATACGCATATTAATTTCATAATGACTCGGGTAAAAGTTAGTTTTCTTGAGGGAAAAAAAGTGCATATACTAACAAGGCTCCGATGGGGTACTGGCATGACTCAAAAGTTGAAATTTACAGCTCACTCAACTTATCACTATGACCCCAAGATCCTATTAAGAGGTGGTCCTTAATAAAAAAACAGAGGGTCTGAAACCAAATGTTCTAACTCTATCAGAAGAAAAGACTATATTCTCAAAAGCTTTGTCCTTTTAATTTAGTATAGAAGCTCACTTGTTTTTTTTTTTGTAAAAAATTTTCTTTTCTGTTTCAGGGGCTTCAGCAATCCGTAATCTTCCTCCTGAGCAGTTCTGCAGACATGGCTTTGTTTTGGGAAAATCATCAGAAGCAGGATTTGGAAATGAGATGTACAAGATCTTAAATGCTGCGGCATTGAGCATAATGTTGAACCGTTCCCTGATCATTGGGCAAACCAGGCATATTGGTTCTTTCACAATCCTTTCTGCTTCTGTTGAAATAGTCATTGTCTTTATTTCAATTAATTAGCAAAAGATAGTATTCTGGTTTATGTGCATATAATCATATTTTTAGTAGCTTTTTTTTTTTGCCCACTGTTGGCGCAATTATGACATAGTTGACTTCACAAGTCTCACTGCATATACGGGTTATTTTCATGGAATTCTCTGATAGGCTCTCTTCATTTAGTTTTGGGGTTAATGTGGTAGTAAGAAGTAACAAAGAAATGACTAAGAAATTGCTGGTATATATGCAGTTGTTTTCATTTATGTTTCCGTGTGTTGATTCTTTCTTCAATATCTTTCTTCAGAGGTAAATATCCCTTTGGTGATTACATTTCCTATTCAAATTCGACCTTTACCCTGAACGAAGTGAAGCATCTATGGAGGCACAATGGTTGTGTGAGAAAGCATGGAAGACATCTGGTTATGAGGATTGATGATTTTGTGAAACCAACAAAAACAGATGTCCTTTGTGGCAATTGGAGGAAGTGGGAGCAGCCTATTATATGGTAAAGTGAGAAGGCTCCAGAACTCCCAATACAGATCCACAGTGAATTTCTCATTTTAATTTCATAATGACAAATCTAGCTTTGCAGGTTTCAAAATACTACAGATGCTATGGCAGCTCAATTTTTCTTGAAGAATGTACATTCTGAAATGAGGTTTGCTGCCTCTGAGTTATTCGGGAATCCAGGTTCTCTCCATTTGCAACCTAATGTATTTGGAGAACTGATGAGAGTACTCATATCTCCTTCAGAAGATGTAGAGGAAGCAGTCAATTGGGCTCTAGGTGGCAGGGGGGATCCTGAGTTTTCATTACACATGCGAATGCTCATGAATAGGTATTGCAACTGACTTTCTGATCAAAGAAAAAGCGAAGTTGGTCACTTTATGATTGATGTGAAATGATGTTTCATGATAAATGAGGAACATAAAAAATTGGAGATGTACTTCGAAGAAACCCAGGGATTCAAGAGGAGCTCTGATACATCATATGTCCAATTTTTTTCTGTTTTACTCGACTGTCGCTACTTAAAGAGGTCTTTTTGCTCGGCCCTTAGAGAAAAGCAAGACAATTACATGTAGACTGCAATTTGAGGTCATTTCTCCTATCAGCGCCGGAGATGAGAAAATGCCTTTTATATGTCTATGAAGGTTTTAATAAAACTTAGAACTTGTTCATAAAGCCTTGAACTTGAGCAAAATTTTAAAAATCATTCAAACTTTTATGAATAAGCATGTTTGTAATGAATTGTTTTTGGACATCCTTGGAAGGAGAGGAAAAATGTGATAGACTAGGATGTGATTCCAATGTAATTATATATATCTCTTCTGCTCTGTATTTCAGGTCTGTGAGAGCTGGACAGGCAGCTTTAAACTGTCTGAGGAAAGCCATGCGTAACTTTACACAAGGGCCAAAACCTCGGGTGGTTTTGGTATCAGATACTCCCGCATTTGTGAGAAGCATAAAACCAAATATTAGTGAATTTGCTGAGGTAGGATTTCAGAGTCATCTTGTAAATTATATTTATATTTGGAATTCTAACTAGCATTTGTAGGTTGATTTTGTTCCTTTCATAATGCCCCCCTCCCTGCTCACATGAAAACCATACATATAATTGTTTTAGAAGTTTGTCAAATTCTGAAATCCAATACGTATTAAGGTTTGGAATATCTAAACTCTCATATTGTACAAGATTCTGAAAAATTGCAAATTTCCAGGTTCTTCATTTTGAATATAAGGTCTTCAAGGGGAATATATCGCAAGATGTTGGTAGGTTGCCTAGTTTGGATTTTAGAGTGAGGGATTGGGGCCCAGCACCTAGATGGGTTGCGATCGTGGACTTCTTTCTTGCATCTCATGCGAAACATGCTGTTATCTCCGGAGCTCACAGGCGAGTTGGTACTACTTATGCTCAGTTAATAGCCGCACTGGCTGCAGCCAACAGCCTTGGTAATTTTTATAACTTACGCTTTAAAATCTCTATCCGTTTTCTTCAAACTGTTGAAGTGTAAGTTATATCTTTCTTTTTATAGAAACTGCGGGGAAATGTCTTAATATTTTGTTCATCCTATCTCAGGGGAGAATTCTACTAGTTCAAGTTTTTCATTCTTAAGCAGCTTCCAAAGTAATTTATTGAGAGAAGGCTTAAAGCTTCAGGTGGGATGGGGACATGTCTGGAACAGATTTGCTGGTCCGTTGAGTTGTCAAAACCAGTCTAACCAATGTGCTTTCACGCCACTTCTTCCTCCAGGTTGGTGGGATGGCATTTGGCAATCTCCCATTCCCCGTGATATCCGTAAGCTTTCTGCCTACGGCGTCGAACTCTCTGGTCTCGGCACCGTCGATGAAAATGAACTTCGATCTTTCTGCAGCTCGAAGAAAAGAAAGGCGGTAACCATTACGCTCATCTAAGATGTAATTTCAAGCTTTCCTATTATACAATTCGATATCTTTGTGTATCAATATTATTTTATACTTAGTAACCACAGATTAGGCTGTCTAACATGTAGTTATTTTATTGATCTGGATCAAATTTCATTCTTCATCTGATTAACTAATTGAGAATAAAATTAACCAGGTCTCACATTTCTGGTTTTGTATGTATGTATGTATGTATGTATTCATTTCAAATGTAATGTCAGTTTTTCAGATCTATTTCCACGAATTCAGAATGAATTTCCTAATATAACGTTTCATGAATTAAATAGTATTTGCATCTAATAACAAATAGGAACAATCTTTAACAGGAAGACAACATAACTAGTTGTTATATTGAATATATATACAGAATACAACCTGATTGAAACCCAAAATTCGATATAAATTTTTTTATTCAGTAAAAAATAGGTTGCTTACATCAGATCTGAAATTTAGCAAACTAATTAATGAATTGATTAGCTTTTATAGCAGAATGAATATTTAGGATTTGTAAAGTTAAATGAATCTTGAGAGGGAGCAAACTGGATCATAAAAATGTGGAAAGAAATCAACTTTAAAACCATGTCATGAAAGCGAAAAGGAGTTAAGCTTAGCTTATAAGAAAAAAATAAAAAAATAATAATTATTATTATTTTGTTCATGTATTGCTTATTTTTACTTAAATTAATTTCTATTTTAATTTTTAATGACTTAATAATGTATTTTTAAATAATTTTGGGATCGAAATAATTATTTAATAAATAAATAAACATTAAACAAAAAGGAAGTGAGAAAATCTTTAATAACCAAACAAGGAAGGAACGATGTTGATGCCAACAACAAAAAATTAATTACATCATAATTTATGATCACGAGTTGCAGCTTTGTTAATCTTCATCCACATACACACACCCAAATATATAATAATTTATACACATTCCTTTTTTGCTTTTCTTCAAAAATCTGCTGGATGGTGTAAAATATGGAACTTACAATGAGACCCATATTTTAAATTTATATGCACTTACTAATCAGATCTGATTTTGTTCTGCAAATGTTTTTTCATTTATTTCAAATTAGTTAAAATTATTTTTTAAAATATTCAAACATGATTTAATTATTTTAATGTTTCATTAATAAATTAAAAGAAACTCAAAATCAAGAAAAATTAAAATCTGTCACTAAATTATAATAACTGTTAAATATTGAGAATTAATTTAGTAATTTATTTTATTTTTATTGAACGTATAAAATATTTAATTTTTAATGCGTGATAACAATTTTAATATTAAAATAATAATTAAATAGCTAATCAGACTTTACGTACAAAAATATCAACACATCTTTTAATCTTTTCCTTTCCAAAGCATATTACAATTCAA